TTCTGTCGACAGGAGATTCCTAAAACCCATTTCTCATTTGTAATAGATTTACTATTGGTATAAAATTGAAACATTTTCAAATTATGTCATTGCCCACTGCACTCGATGATTGGCTGGTTGGATTCAACTGCCATTGAAATACCTATTAATATTTATAAAAATCAAAGGAATGGGCTGTTGACCTGACAATACCGGTAGATGTAGGTTCTAATAACTCATCAAGTTTTTATCGATTGTTTTCAAACATGGATATTTTGTCAATACAGGTCTGTATTTTAAACTTTGGGTGATATAAGAGCTTTCCACACTGTAGTGTCAAATGTCTTGAAGCAGTCTTGGAGTTCTGTCTTATCTTGGAGTTCTGTCATCGATCTTGGAGTTCTGTCATCCTCTGCAATGTCCTTGACTGTAATGATTTGCAAATGCCTGAAAATGTTTTTAGTCCATGTTTGGAGGAAAACAGGGACTTTTGTTTTGACCTCCATAAGTGTATGTGTGCATCTCCACATGTAGCTCGAACATGCCTGGACCTGTCACATTTAAACCTCAGACATATATTATGCATCTGGTGATATATAGGCACATTCTTTTGTTTCAAAACGTTCCAGATCTCTGTTGTGTATGACGGATTTCAATCAAACATTATGGAACATTGCTGTTGGGTATTTTTTTTTTTTTCTCAATTGATTCAAAATGGCCGACAGGTGGCCATTTTGTTTATAAAAAATGCAGTTCCGGAGCTGTATTTTCAACATTTTCTGACTGATCATGTTCATAATAAATAAATCAAATTGTACATATTCACATTTATTCAGTGACATTTGGTGATCAGATTCAAGTTTTTGATATACAAATGTACTTTATTTTTCATTAGTATTAATTTGAAAAGGTTTATACAGTGCTCTTTATATATTGAAATCACAATTACTAATTTAAAAACAAGACATGCATCTAATGAAAAGTATGTGATTCTTTTTAAGTAACCGTGTTGAAATATAATATTAGCTTATAGATAGAACTACATTTTATAAAAGCTGTTAAAGTGCCTGTGCAATGCCCACCCACACGCTTCCCATTTTAGATCTGTGCCCCACTGAAATGGGTAATTATTGATTTTTTTTGCTGAAAAAGATTACTCGTATCCAAGTAAATTTGAGATATTTCCCGTGCTGTAGCCACGCCCACCTATCCTGAAACGGTCGACTGTTTCCGGATTTCTGACTCTCGCCAAAAGTGCGCCATCAAATGCAAAAATATGAGAGGAAGCCATACCCCTGGGCCGTACTTTTATATCACTGTGTCATTCAACGTACAACTGTACTTTTAAACGATATATCGTGAAAATAATGAGAAAAGGTTGGGGTGGACTTCCTCCTAACAGCGTCATATGCAGTGTCCACTTCACCTCAGATTCTTTTTTTTTTTGTCCATGACAAAACAACTAGGTTTTAACGAGAAACGCCGAAAATACAAAACGTTTTCGAAAAAATAGATTCCGGACCAGCCCATGATCACTGAGACGGATTTCAGAAGGGAGAGAGACGTCGAGTATGTGTTTCAAATGATTTGATTTTTTTTGCGATCCTGATTATCACTTTATAGAGACCACCCGTGTTATGTAAAAGGTAGCAGTAATTTTGATAATGACGCGAAAACGAAGCGTCGGACAAACAGGAAATTACGCAGCCCTCCGAATATTTTCATTTTCGCAGGCTAA